GATTTAGTCCTTTAACTATTTATTTTTTATTAGATTGATCCCATAATAAGTGTGGTATGTAAGAATTAAAGAGAGATAGATAATTAAGATTTTGTATAAGTGTAGAATAGTAAAATTTATATATAAGTGAATTTTAAATATGTATTAATTTTTAACTGTACAACAAAAGATATATACTTCATTATTTAATTTACCCTACTCATATATCATACAACTTAAACTTAAAATATATTATTCATAGTAAAAGAATATTATTATTAATTAAGTTATTTCTAACTAATCCCATAATATTATCCTTGGAAACATTAAGTACAATATTAAAACTAAGAGTGTTTTTGTTTCTTTGGTAGTTTTTATTTTAATGTTTCTTTGATGTATTTTTTAAGGGTTTGTCTAATCAATACCCTTAAGGCATATTAAATTAATATTTTTATCATAAATTTATATGAAAAAAAGAAATTTAATTTTTAATTTATTAACTATCCATATAAATTCACTTAACATTAAAATTAATATTAGCTTTTACATATCTTTATATACATTTATAATAGAAAAAATACACTTAAGGCACAAGTTAAAAAGTCTCTTTTTTTAATGCTCGACTATTTGTTTGATAATTTATGAAAATGAAACTCTTAAAAGTCTTGGATATGATTAATAAAAGTTCTTGGAGATCAAATGAAAAATAAGCATTGTGTAGACTCTTTCATAAGAATTTGTGATAATTGAAATTGAATTATTAGGGAATTTTGAAATTAATTAAATACAAAGTAATATAAACTTCTTGTCAATATTCACATTTTCCATTTACAAGTAAATAGTTGGCATACTAATACGCCAAGCTAGAATTAAAAAAAAAAATCATCACATAACAAGAGTAAGATAAAAGGAAAAAAAAAAGGAAAAGTCTTTCAGATTAAGATAAAAGGAGAACAAAAAAAAAGAGGAAAAGCCTTTCAGATTCTTTGCGGTGTAGTGACAGCACTTAATAGGGATGCTTCTTGATTACCCAAAAAATTTGTTATTGTGCATAGGGGTCGTTAATATCAAAACACATTCGTCATACAAAACAAACATGCAACAGGCAGG